CTGCAGCAGCATGACCAGGAGCAGCAGCTGCAGCAGCAGGGCCGACAGCAGCAGCAGCAGATTCAAACGAGCTGCAGCAAGAGCGAGACAATTCATAGCCTGTGTCTCTGGTGCTGCAGGTAGCAGGGCTGGTGGTGCCGCTGTTCTTGTTGCTGTTGTTTTTGCTGCTGCTGCTGCTGCAGCTGCAGCAGCTGCAGCTGCTGCTGCTGCTGCTGCTGCTGCGTAGCATAACAACTCGAGGAGACACCGGGCTGTAAGCGCCCGGAACATAATAAAAGGAGACAGAATGTGAATCAGCAGCACGTGCTGCATGCAGCTGCTGCAGCGGAGGAGCAGCAAGCCGCTGCAGCAGCGTAGGAGACCTCATATCTAGCAGCAGCACAGAGCCCCTGTCTGTTAAACCTGCGAACGTCTGTCCTGCAGCAGCAGCAGCAGCAACAACAACGGTAGTAGTGGTAGCAGCACCAAGAGAAGCAGCAGCAACAGGAGCAACAGTAGCAGCAACACCAGCAGCAGCAGCTGTAGCAGTAGCACCAGCCGGAAGAACAGCAGCAGCAGCAACAGTAGCAGCAGACGCAGCAGCTGCAGCAGCTGCAGCAGCAGAGTCCACAAAGACTGAGCCACTAGCAGCTGCGGGGCACAGATGCTGCTGCTAGAAGCCTGCTGCAGCAGCTGCTGCAGCAGCTACTGCAGCAAAGCAGCACCCTCGACGAACCCAGCAGCAGCACGCGCCTTAGTAGTAGCAGCAGTAGAGACAGCAGCAGCATAAGCAGAAACAGCAGCACACGCTGCAGCGGCAGCAGCAGCAGCAGCCTCACGCGGTGTAGCAGCAGCAGAAGTAGCAGCAGCAGCAGCATAAGTAGCCGCAGGAGCAGGATGCACTTACCCATCATGTCTGCAGCAATAACAAGCTCATCTTCTTGTGCTGCCTGCTGCTGCTGCTGCTGCTGCAGCTGTGCTGCTCTGATAAGATGAGGAGATCTTGCATCTGCTACCAGCAGCTCTTTGGCCAGTACTACGACTTGTGTTGCTCTAGAGAGAGGCAGCAAACGACGTGCCCAGCCGCTTGCTGCTGCTGCTGCTGCTGCTGCTGCTGTTGATCCTGCTGCTGGTACTGCTGCTGCTGCTGCAGAGGCGGAAAACAAACGCGGAAGATCCAGTCGATTTACGCACTGCAGCAGCAGCAGCACAAGAAGCAGCAACCGCAGCAGCAGCAACAAGAAGATATAAGAAGCAGCAGCAGCAGCAGCACGAACAAGCCAGCAGCTCAAGTAATTCAGCAGCAGAATGAAGACACCGGTGAGTCCAGCGGATGCAGCAAAGGAACGAGGCTATGCTTTTTTGCTGCTGGTGCTGCAGGTGCTGCTGCTGGTGCTACTGCTTTAGGAGCTGCTTTTGCTGCTTTTGCTGCTTCTGCGTGTGTTGCTTCTCCTGGTGCAAGTGCAGCAGCAGCAGCAGCTGCTGCTGCTGCACGTGGTGTTGCTGCTGCTGATTACCTGCATGCGCTGCAGATCGACAGCACAGACGGCACCGGAGGACAGCAGCACGCCTTGCTGCTGCTGCTGCTGCAGCAGCAGCAGCGCGGGCTCATCTAAGGGCGCCATATCCACAATAAACTGCCCTGCACTTCTTGCAATTTCTACTTCTCCTTGGGGTCTTATAATTTCAGGTGTACGTACACTGCAGCAGCTGCTGCTGCTGCAGCAGCTGCAGCTGCTGCTGCTGTTGCTGCAGCTCACGCAGCCGCTGCTGCAGCCATCATCACCCCAACAACAAGAATCCTGCTGCAAATCGTACAGCGCCACAACAGCAGCAGCAGCAGCAGCAGCAGGAGGGCTGAGCAAATCAGGTCGGGGCTGCTGCCCCACAAGGAGTTTGCTGCTGCTGCTGCTGCTGCTGCAGATGCGTTCGACAGCTGAGGTCCAAAAGCGGCAGCTTTGCTGCTGCTGCTGCTGCTGCTGCTGCCATCCAAAGACAGGTGCAGCAGCAAAGCCAGCGAAAGGAGACAGACGGAAGCAGCGCCGCAGCTGTATGCGCAGCTGCAGCGGCCCTAACAAAGAAAATAAGCAGCAGGTGTTGCTTGCATCTACAGACAGCAGCAAAGCAGCAGCAGCAGGGACTCTGCTGCAGCAGCACAGCGAGCCTCCCCAAGCTGAGTTGCGCCCTATGCAGCGGGTAAGCACCAACGGCGCTGCTGCTGCTGCTCCTGCTGCTGCTGCTCCTGGTGCTGCTGCTGCTGCAACAGGCGGGGGAGACAGAAAGGCTTGATGCAGCAGCGGCTGCGTGCTGCTCCATCCCTTACTCGTCAGCAGCTGCTGCTGCAGCTGCCCCACAGCAGAAAGAGGCGGTGACACAGCAGCAGCTCCTGCACGCAGCAGCGCAGCAGCAGCAGCAGCACAGCTCAGTTGCTGCTGCTGCTGCTGCTTCGTTCTCCCGCAGCCAACCACAAGACAAGCCCCCGGCACCTCTGAAGAATCTGCAGCAACAGAAGCACCCGAAGCCTTTGCTGCTGCTGCTGCTGCTGCTACTGTAGGTAGAGCCGGTTGGGTCCCCGCGCGCCTCCTCCACAGCAGTTCTTGCTGCTGCTGCTGCTGATGCTGCTGCTGAAAGCGGCTGCTCGAACGCAGCGTCGGCAGCGGGAGACTGCATGCATAGGGCTCCCCGCCTGAGCAAAGGAGGAGGGATGGGTGCTGCTGCTGCTGCAGCAGCAGCAGCAGCATACAGCTGTCTCTGCCGCCGCAGGAGGCCAGCGCCGCAGCAGCAGTTCGGCTTGCTGCTGCTAGGGCACCCCAAGAAGCTGCATCCAAGAAGAGCAGCAGCGGCAGCACTCCTGCTGCTGCTGCTGCAGCAGCAGCACAAGGAACCCCTACGTGGCAGTGCGTTGTCTGTCTCCCGCAGCGGGTGTTGCAGCAAACGCGACACCAGCAGCCGCTAAACTGAGTGCTGCTGCTGCTGCTGCTGCTGCTGCTGCTGTTGATGCACATACAAGGACTCCTTCGGCTGCAGCTGCAGACAGCTGCACTTTTGCTGCTAACAATGCTGCTACTGCTACTGCTGCTGCTGCTACTAATATTACTGATAGCAGTACTCCTGCTGCTGCTGCTGCATGCGGGGCAACGAGAGCTGGCAGCCCGCAGCAGAGCCTGCTCCAGCAAACTGCTACCCACGGCCTGCGCGTTGCTGCTGCTGCTGCTGCTGCTGCTACTGCTGCTGCTGCTGCTGCTACTGCTGCTGTTGCTGCTGCTGCTGCTGGCGACGCTCTGGGCTCTTCTCACGCTGTGGGCCCTGCGGGTCTTGCGTTGGCTGCGGCGGCCGTCCGGTGCAGCAGCAGCAGCAGCAGCAGTTGCTGCTGCTGCTGTTGGCAGCCACAGGGCTTCATCTTCACTGTCTCCCGCTGCAGCACGTAGTTCCTGAGAAGCAAACAAAACAGAAGCAGGCACCAGCTGCTGCTGCTCCTGCTGCTGCTGCTGCTGTTGCTGCTCCTCACGGGCTTGCAGCAGCTGCTGCTGCAGCCGCAGGCGACTTTGGCGCTGCCGCGACAGCACGCGGGAGGTGTGTTGCTGCTCAGCCCGCCGCTGCTGCTGCTGCTGCTGCTGCGGTCCGTGCTGCTCTGGTTGCTGTTGCTGTTGCTGCTGCTGCTGCTGCGTGTTTGCTGCTGCATCGTGGAGGTCAATGGGCGGGTGTAGCAGCTGCCCGCGGCAGCGGCGTTCTTGCTGCTGCTGCTGCTGAAGCAGTTGCTGCTGCTGCTGCTGCTGCTGCTGGGGTTTTAGCGGGGAGCAGCGGCTAGCTGGGGGGTGGCTGCGTTTCTGTGAGTGTTTGTTGGTTTGCTGTTGCTGCTGCTGCCTCCGGTGCATGCGGTGGTGCTGCAGCAGCTGCTGCTGCCGCTGCTGCTGCTGTGCATACTCCACCAGGTGGCGCTGCAGCAGCAAACAGCAGGGAGATCTTGTTAAGACGCGCTGCTGCTGCTGCCGCGTGTTGCGGTGCTGCTGCTGCCAGCGCAGCAGGTTGTGGTTTCTAAAGAGGTTAGCTATTCCGTGTGCTGCTGCTGCGCTGCTGTGTGCTGCTGCTGCGCTGCTGCTGCTGCTGCTGCTGCCTGGCCAGCGAGGTGTACGGCACCATTGCTGCGGCCCTCCCCCCACCCCTTCATCTGAGCCGCAGGCTCGACGTGTTGTTGCTGCTGCTGCTGCTGGTGCTGCTGCTGCTGCTGCTGCGGGTGCTGCGCCCCCAGCAGCAGATGCTACAATAGCTGCCAACGCTGCAGCACGCGCTTCTGCTGCTGCTGCTCCGTCGCTGCTCTGCTCCGCTAGCAGCAAATCGCTGCGCAGCTGAGCAGGGGGCCTCAAGGTACGCCTGCTGCTGCTGCTGCCGCGCCTGCTGCTGCTGCTGCTGCTGCTGTTGTTGTTGTTTTCTCCTGTCCCCAAATCTCCATCGCCTGTAACCCGGCGCTGGCCTGCCATGCCTGCTGCTGTTGCTGCTGCTGTTTCTGCTGCTGCTGCTGCTGCTCCTGCTGCTGCTGCTGCTGCTGTTGCTGCTGCTGCTACTGCCGCTGCTGCTACTGCCGCTGCTGCTGCTGCTGCTGCCTCAAGGGGGCGTGTACGGAACTCGATGCAGCATGGCTACTATGAAATGAAAGACTGAATACCGATCTGCTGCTGCTGCTGCTGCTGCTGCTGTTGCTGTTGCCGTTGCTGCTGCTGCTGCTGCTTCACATTGCGAATGCCGCGCGCAGCCGCTACTAAAGCAGCAGCACTACCAGTTTCACCAGCATCAGCAACAGCAACAACAGCAGCAGCACCAGTACCAGCAGCAGGAGCAACTGCAACAGCAACAGCAGCAGCAGCAGCAATGGGAGGGATCGCTGCCCCCCAGGGGTTAAATGCTGCAGCAAGAGCCTGAAGCTGTTTGGAGTTTAGAGGTGCGATCTCCTAGTAAAAGAAAAAGTCTTAGGGTTCAAATCTGCTGCAGCAGCTGCTGCTGCTGCTGCTGCTGCTGCTGGCTTGGTGTGCCTCTAGCTGAAATAATATAAGAAGAAGCCGAGGAAGAGCAGCAAAAAAAGATAAGAAGAAAATCTTCTAAGGACAGGTAAAAATTGCTGCTGCTGCTGCTGCAACAGCGGCTGCTGCTGCTGCTGCTGCTGCGCTGAATATGGCTGCCGGTGACCTGCTGCAGCAACAGCAGCAGCAACGTGCAGTAGCAGCAGCAACAGCCTTGCTTCTGCTTCTTTAGGGGGTTGTTAAGATAATGATGTGTTGTCTTTAATTGGGGTGTATACGCAGCTATATCTGCTGCTGCTGCTGCTGCTGCTGCTGCACAGGGAGCAGCACCCCAACCTCAAGGCAAAAAAATACCTCGTAGGACCCTCAGCCCCAAACCCTAAACCCTAAACCCTAAACCCTAAACCCTAAACCCTAAACCCTAAACCCTAACTCAAACCCTAAACCCTAAACCCTAAACCCTAAACCCTAAACCCTAAACCCTAAACCCTAAACCCTAATAACCCTAAAGAACCCTAAACCCTAAACCCTAAACCCTAAACCCTAAACCCTAAACCCTAAACCCTAAACCCTAATACCTTAAACCCTAAACCCTAAACCCTAAACCATAAACCATAAAAATAGAGCCAATAACATTTGTTTTTTTGGGTTTTATTTATCTCCTTTGCTACCCCCTACCCGCCACCTGTCTATACACCGCAACTATATACTGTCTTGCCTCTCTCTAATTTTTTGATGTGTATATACACCTCAACATAAAAACACAAAAAAGGAGGTGCGTATACACCGCTTCACTAACGGCTCGTAGTCTTATATATATATATATATATATATATATATACATCTTATATATATATA